AGGAGCGATTGACCAGCACGCGGACGCCGCGGGTGTCGGCGCCCAGCAGGTTGTGAGCCACGCACGTGTAGAGCCCGGCCTCGCGCGCCGCGATCCCGCGGATCTCCAGCGTCCCCTCGGAGTGCACCTTGAACTTTCCATCGTCCCCAAACGGCAGCAGCTTCACCCCGGCCGGTGTCACCCAGTAAATCTCCGGCTCCGGCTCCGCCAGCGCCCGGCAGTGCAGGGCCACGTTGTCGCCCACCTCGGCCTCCAGGCGCGCTGGGATGCTGCGGGCGGAGATGAGCGGCAGGCACTGCTCTGTCATCTCCTGGAAGGGGACGTCGCGGATGTGGCGGCGCTGGAGGTCGGGGGGCTCGGCGCAGAGCGTGGACTGGGGCTCGATGAAGCGCACGCGGGGCCGGGTGCTGTTGACCCAGCGGATGACGCAGTCGCAGCGCAGGGGGTTGCCGTGGATGCTGATCTCCTGCAGGTTGGGCAGCGACTCCACCGTCTGCCGGTGCAAGGCACTTAGGGCGTTGTTGTTGAGCATCAGCGTCTCCAGCTGCGGAAGGTGCTGGAAGGCCTTGGGGTGGATGAAGGACAGCTTGGGGTTGTTGGTGACGTCCAGCTTGGTCAGCTCGGGGAGGTTGATGAGGGCGAACTGGTCGATGGACACCAGCTCGTCCATGTTGTTGAGGCCCAGCTCCTTGAGGTGCAGCATGTTGGTGAAGTCGCTCTGCTTGACCCTCTGCAGCGGGTTCTTGTTCAGATCCAGGAATTTCAGGCCGGGCACCTGCTGCAGAGCCCTCTTGGGGACATCTGCCAGCTTGTTGTCGTAGAAGGAGAGGCTCTCCAGGCTCCTCAACCCTTCCAGGGCGTAATCCGAGATCTCCCGCAGCTGCATCCCGGCCAGCACCAAACTCCGCAGGTTGCCCAGGGGCCGGAAATTCATGTCCAGGATGGCGTCCACCTTGTTCCCCCCGACCATGAGGATCTCCAGGCTGGGCAGCATCTGGAACCAGCGGCTGTCCAGCGTCCTCAGCAGGTTGGAGTTGAGGTGGAGCCGCAGGAGGCTGCCCAGGCCGGCGAAGGCGCGGGGGGCGATGCGGCGGAGCCGGTTGTGGTTCAGGTAGAGCTCCTGAAGATTCCCCAAGCCCGGGAAGCTGCCATCGGGCAGCTCGGAGAGTTGGTTCTCCTCCAGGTGCAGGCTGAGCAGCTGGGGCATGTTCCTGAGCCCGAAATCCCAGATGTCGGAGAAGCTGTTCTGCGACAGATCCAGCTCCGACAGGTTCCGCAGGTAGCCCAGCTCGCCCTGCTCCAGCCTGGCGATGTTGTTGCTCTGCAGCAGCAGGGTTTGGGTGCCCTCGGGCAGCTCTGGCGGCACCGAGGTGATGAAGAGGTCGTTGCAATCCACCGTGGCCGCCTCGCGGTAGGCGGAGCGGGGTGTGTACCAGGGCCGGATCTGGCAGACGCAGCGCGGGGGACATGCCACCCGCCAGGGCACCGTGGGCATGGCGCCGGCGGCCACCACGCACAGCAGGAGGCAGCTGGCCTGGAGGCCTCTCATTTTGGGCTGGAGAAGGTCACAGGGAGCATCCAGAGCTGGCCACGGCGTGACGGCGAGGTGGGGACGGCGCCCGTGGGGGGCGATGCTCCATGCGAGCCCCTGGAAGCGTCAGCCCCTGCCTGGCGCCCCCGAAATGGGAGCTTAAAGCACTGGGGGCGCCTCAGTCAGAGCTGGGACTCTTCTTCCTCCCCAAAGGAGTCGTTGCCGGGCTCAGCTGCATCTTCTGGGCTCCTCCTCGAGGTCATTCCTGGAGAAACAGCAAAGTTGGGTGAGAGGAGCTGCTGGGGAACAAGGGGCAGGGACAAGGAACAGGTTGGAGAGGTAAAAACCTGAGCACGGCACCCCCAGGGCCCTGCCCAGGACCCCCAGTGCCCTCGAAACTGCCCAGCAAATCCATGAATTCCATTTTTTTATCCATGGCATTCACTGTGCCCTCGTATCCCAGAGAATCTGGGTGGAATTATCCCATGGAATCTGCCCAGGACCCCCAAGACCCTCAGAACAAATCCATTAATTCCACTTTATATCCATGATTTAACTATGTCCTCCCATCCCACAGGATCTGGGCGGAATTATCCCGTGGAATCTGCCAAGGAACCTCAGAACAAATCCATGAATTCCATTTTATATCCATGGCATTTTCTGTTCCCTCTCATCCCAGAAAATCCAGGTGGAATTATCCCATGGAATTATCCCATGGAATCTGCCCGGGACCCCCAGCAGCCCCTGGATCTGAGCAGAGCCAGAGCTGCGGGCGTTGGGAATAATTATCCATGGGGATAATTATCCATGGGGAAAATCATCCTGCGGGCTCTGCTCCCTGCTCCTCATCCTCCCCAGCTCCGAACTCCCCCACCAGGGATCTCCAGCCCCACTTGCAGCCCTCCAATGGGATATTCCTTAGGGAAAAACCTCCCCCAAACACTGGGAATGCTCAGGCTGGGATGGGTTTGAACCCCCCGGCACCTCCTGCCCCTCTCCCAGTCCAGCTGGAGCGGGAATGGAATTTCATTCCAAGATTTCCTCCGGCTCTCCTGCCCCACGCTGACCCAAATCCAACCTTTTCTTCCCTTAAAAGCCTCTCACCCAGCAGGGAAAAATAAACCCCAAACATTAAAAAAGCGGGAAAAGCAAAGTTTCTGTTTTATCCCCTGGAAAGGGCTCCCGAGCCGCGTTTATTCCGCATCGACTCCTCCCAGATCAATCCCACTCTTTCTCTCCTTTCCCGCTGCTTTTAAAGCTGCTCCCGGAGAACCAGCATGAAAGGAAAAGATGGATCTATCGATTCCCGCTTCCCTCTGATGGATCCACACCTTTCCTTTTAAGTGCTCCGGCATTTTCGGGTCTATAAAAGTCTCCAGCTGTTTAAATATCTCGGGAATTTTTTCTCCTTAAATAAAATATATTATGGAGGGATTTGGGGGGGGGTTTATTTGTTTTCTTCAAGTTGTGAAGGAAAGTCTGGAAAAGGCACCTGGTTCCAACCCTGGTTTTCCAGGGAAAAGCCCCCCAGCTCTGCTGGGTTTGTCCATAATTGGATTTTATCCCGATTTTCCCAGCACAGGACAGGGTTGCTGCATGGATGGCTGGGAAAATTCCTGGATACGGGATAATCCAGGACTCTGAACTTGTGGAAATATGGTGGATTTGGGAAAACTTGCGACTAAAATCCACGGAAAGGAGCAAACTGGGAGGAAAGGAAGAGCTTTGGCAGTGAGGGGTCTCTGCTGAGGGGGAAAAATCCCGGGAAATGATGGGGCTGATCCCGCTCTGCCTGGGAAGCAGCTCCCGGAATTCCTGCTGGGGACAGGGTGGCCCTGCCCGCTGTCCCTGCCTGTCCCGCGGCTCCGCTCCGAGTGCGACATTCCCGAGGGATGGCGGCTCCCGGGGAAAATCTTGGAGCGAGCTGAGCTCGGGGCTGCTCTCCGACTTCTCCAGCTTTCCTGGCTTCTCCATCTTCTCTGGATTCCCCGTCTTCTCCATCTTTTCCATCTTCTCCAGTTCCTCTGGATCCGGCACACACCAGGCGTGGGCAGATGGGAAGTGGCCGTTGGGTGCTGTGGGAAAATCCTTCCCTCACCCATTCCTGGTTTTCCATCTCCATCCAGCCCCTGGGGAAAGTTGGGATGCTGGGAGCGGGATCCTGCCTGGGGCAGGAGGGAATTCTCATGGAATGATGGAATCCTGCAATGGAATCCTCAAATCCCATCCAGTGCCATGGGCAGGGGCATTCCCACTATCCCAGAGTGCTCCAGCCTGGCCTGGGACACTTCCAGGATTCTCTGGGAATTTCCAATCTGGGAATGAGTCAGGATTCCTGAAACTGGAATTTTTTATAGGATTGTGGAATGGTTTGGGTTGGAGGGCCTTAAGGATCATCCCAGTCCTGCCCCTGCCATGGGCAGGAGCTTCCAATACCCCAGGATGCTCCAGCCTGTGCTGGGACACTTCCAGGGCTGGGGCAGGCATGGATTCTCTGGGAATTCCATCCCAGCTCCTCCCAGGGAGGGATTTCATCCCCAAAATCCCACCTAACCCCACCCTCGCCAGGAAACCGGGAGCCTCCAGCATCTCCCAGCTCCGAGCAAACCCCGGCGCCTCTTCCGGAGCGAATCAACGAACGGAGAAACCACGGGACAAAGGAGGGAGAAATAAAGGGAAAAAGGAGAAAAAGAGGGGAAAAAGGAGGAAGAAATAACGGGACAAAGGGCCCCGAATGTCGCCGGCACCGTGGCAACCGCCCCCCCTTCTCCGCTCATCTGTATTCCCGGGCTGAGCCCCGCGGCCGCCGCAGCTTCCATGGAAACCTCGAGCTCCCGGAACGCGGCGCTGGAGACGGGAGATGGGATCCAGGAGCCGCCACCGGGAAAACTTTGTGTCTTTGAGGGCGTTCTCAGAAATCCCGGCGGGTTTTGGTGCTCGGAAGCTGGGCGGGGTGGGTGTTCCCGAGGTGGATGTTGCCAGGAGGGGATTTCCTGGGATACGGGGCTGATCCTGGGATGGGAGAGTTTTCCTGGGATATGAGGCTTTTCCTGGGATACGAGGCTGATCCTGGGATGGGAGAGTTTTCCTGGGATATGAGGCTTTTCCTGGGATACGAGGCCGTTCCCGCCCCTCTTTCCTTCACCCCCCAAAGCCAGCAGCACCCCGAGGGTGACAGCGATGTCCCCATGTGCCACCCCCTGTCCCTCACAGCAGCCTCCAGCTGCCATTTCTGGATATTATTCCCTTAAAATTAACATTTCCCCGGGAAATCTGGAGAACATTTCCACGGGGAAACCTGGCAAAGTCCCTGCCGAGGTTTGAGCCGGGATTTTTTGCTCAGGAAAAGCGGCTTTGGAAGCGTTTGCTTGGAGCTATTCCCAGCGGGAGGAGGGTGGGTTTAGATGGGATTTTGGGAAGAAATCGGCACCGCTTTTCCCACCCCTGGAGGTGTCCAAAGCCAGGCTGGCGCCACCAGGATGGGGGAAAATCCTCTCCAAACCCACCAGCACCACGATTCTGCTTTTCTAGCGATTTCTCCCCTCCCTCAATCCTTGTTTTGTGCACAGGGATGAGATTTTTATATTTTTTTTAAATTTTTAATTCCCGTATTTCCCCATCCTCCTGCATCTCCGTGGGCAGGGAGGGCGATAACGTGATTCCCGTTATTCCTGTTTGTCTGGGAAGCAGCCAGGAGCTAAAAACGCAGCCGGGGGTAGCAGAGAGCTCGGCTCGGGCGCCCGGGGGCTGCAGCCGCCTCTTCTCTCTTATCTCGGTGCTTCTCTGCCTCTCTCCGGCTGGATTTTAATGAGGAGGGCTGGGAAATCAGCCTGCTGTGCTCATCCTGCCGCTTCCAGGCCCTGGAATTGCTGTCTCGCCTTTGGAATTGTTGTTTTGCCCTCTGGGATCGTTGTTTTGCTTGTGGTTTTTCCCCCCACCTCCCCACTTCAAAACGCTCCCACGAGGTTCCTGTGGTTTCCCTGATCCAGGCTCAGCCTCCAGCCTGGAAAAAAGGTGGAATTCGGTCCTCTTGGCAGCGAACTGCATATTCCAGATCCAAATTCCGTTTGGATCCCGCCGTCATTCCCTAGGGATCGCACATCCCATCCCGCGGGAGCGTCGGAGGTTGAGGAGATGCTCCGGTGCCTGGATCCCATCTCCAAAACTCAGCCCAGCGCCTCCCGTGGGGTTCTGAATGTTCATTCCTGCCGGGATAAATCCCCAGGGATCTTCCCGGCCTTTCTCCCTCCTCCACTTGGGAAAATCGGGAGCGAGAGCTCAGCAGGGAGCGGGGCCGGGGAGAGCGGGGCGCTCCTGGGGACAGCGACAGCTCCTGGGGTGGCTTCCAGCTCTTCCAGGGACATCCCGGACCATGGCCAGGATCAGGAGAGGACCCAGGAGTCAAATCCGGGCTGTGGGAAGCCTCGAATCCATCATTTTTAGCCAGGAAAGCCTCAAATCCATCATTTTTAGCCTTGGGGCCGTCTCGTTTTATCCCCGAGCCTCAGGGCATGGCGTTAACTGGAACATTTGGAATTGTCCAAATTCCATGGGGGAAAAAGCTGGCTGAGCTCTGCCCCTGGAGAAATCCGGGACTGGGGAGATGGAATTTTGGCTGGATTGTCCTTCCCTCTGGGAAATCCAGGTTTTCAACCCCCCCGAGCTGCGCTGGGCTGCAGCTCTCTGCATTTTTGGGAGCAGCTCCAGCGCCTGGCAGCGGCTCCGGGCTGCAGCAGGAGCTGAACTCCGGCTGTTCCCAAATCCCACGTTTCCAACGGCAAATCCAGAACATTCCTGGCAGAGAGGGGATGGGGAAGGAGGAAAAAGCTGATTTTGGGGTATTTATCTCCCTGACACCTCTCTCTGTTGTGATTTGCAGAGCCTTGGCTCGTTTTTCCTAACGCACAGGGCCGTGATTCCCTGGAATTTCCCAATCCAGTCTTTTCCAGGCAGGAGAGGTCGGAGGTGCATTCCCAGAATATCCCGAATATTCCCCTCCTGCCACACGCCCTTCCCGCCTGTGGCTGCCGAGTTTTTCCAGAGCCATCCCCAGGATCTCCTTCCCGAGGGATCATTTAGAGCCCTTCCCATCGCTGAGGATTCCTGGGAATGCACAGGATCCACATCCCGCTGGAAAATCCCTCTCCGGGAGCCCAGGCAAGGGCTCAACCCCCCAGAATTCCATGGAATGTTCTGCTCCGTTCAGGGCCGCTCCAGGGACGCCGCTGTGTCATTCCCAGCGCCCTTCCCGGCGGGAATGATCGATAATTAATTCCTCATTAACATTTGCAGAGCAGCTCCCCCCAAACCTCCGCCCCTTCCCCTTCTCCAAGGGCAGCGGGATGGGGACGGGAATGTCAAAGGATCTGAACTCCCAAATCCACCTGGTTTTCCATGAATTTGTGGCATCCAAAGGCCACGGAGGCCTGCGGAGCGCATCCCAACCAACCCGCTCCCACTGGAAACGCTGGAGGAGGCGGCTCCCGGCATTCCAGGATCCTGGATTGGGTGGGAAAACCTCCCAGCCCTCAAATCCAAAGGTTGGGAATGGCCGGGGGCTGCTCCAGCGCGGCCCCTCGGGGTATTTTGGGAAGGAATATTCCTCCAGCGCGGCGTTGGTGTGGGATTCCCTCCGGAGGGATAAATCCAGGCTCCATAAACCTCCCCCAGGCAGGGAGGGAGGGGAAATCCAGGTTATTCAAAGTGGGGGGAAAAAAACCGGGAATGATTCCCTGGCTGTGATTAAAACCGAACCCCTGGTGGGAGCGCTCCTGTTATTTCTCCAGAGGTTCCTGTGGTTGGGAAAAATATTCCTGTGGTTGGGAAAAATATTCCTGTGGTTGGGAAAAATATTCCCAATCTCAGGGCTATTGCCGCAAGCGGGAATGCTGCACAGGGAGGCTGGAGAGGGCTGGAGAACCGGGAATTTCACTGGAGAACCGGGAATTTCACTGGAGAACCGGGAATTTTGCTCTGGTGTGGATGCCCCACCGGGCTCTTCCCGCTTCCAGCTTTTTTGTCTCTCCACCCATGGATGAAACTGCTTCTCCCGGAAGGAAGGGAGGCAGGGATGGGGCAGAGATTCCAGGGAATTCCAGCCTCGGGAATGGGCGCTGGGATGGGGTCACAAAGAGAGGGGAGACCCCCAGGGCTGTTCCCACGGAATTCCAGCTCAGGATGGCACCTGTGGAAGCGCCGTGGGATCAGAGCCATTCCCAATCCCAGGGAAGCCTCTCCCTGCTTTTCTCTGGAGCATTCCAACCTCGCACGAGGTCCCGCCGGCAGGGCCCAGCTCCCAGTTCCTGACAAATTCCAAGTCTGGAATCTCTGGCCGCAGGTCAGGGTGAAAAGGAGGGAAGATCCAGCAATAAATAATAATAATAATAATAATAAAAAAAAAAGCCGGGAAAAGATC